CTTCAGTTCATCCACTAAGCATCCAGTACCGGCATTCCACCCCTTTCCTCTAGCGACCAAATACCAAATACGACCTCTTCGTTGGTGAACCCCAAGAAGGACGTTCCCTAACATTTGACATAAAGAAAAGGCGTCAGCCATGTCTGTGTCACGCATTCGAATTGACTTCAGATTTCTAGCTTTTGAATATGTACTGAGCACACGTGTGATTGACGGGCCAGAAGTTTCTCCCCATGTGTGTTCAAGCGTCAAGCACATACTGAACCACCCCGTATAGATAAGAAACTTGTTCGGCTTAGTCAAAATTCAAATCACAGGCAATGCGTCCAACAGGGGAGGCGTCATTACCCCTGCACCGCATAGGTCACTCATGATCTCCTCTCGCATGGTAAATAAGAACAAATACACAACAGCAAACCTTCAATCTGTAAGTTTCCGTGTGCTGTGCAACTGAGGTATTCGTAGAGAAGTAAGTGATCATTTCAGCCACTGTATTCATCATTTCTTCATCAGCATGCTTCTCTACCACCATATCGATCACGCGCATGAGTTCGGCAAGGTGCTGTAATAATTCAGCATCCAAACAATTCGTTTATTGAGGCTAATTCGAAGCTAGAACCTAAGGTGACATATGTGGGCTTACATTCTCCAATCGACCAGCCATATACATATCCAATTGGAAATTTAGTGGCAATGTAATCAAGTTGGCAACTTTGTCACGATCTGCGATGAACTGAAATGTGACACATTCAAAGTGTGTACTTTCGAAAGAGTACTCTCATATTTTATTGGATTAGGTTGTTTCATACTTGGCGGCAGCGCCCACCAGCGTCCAACAGCGTTTTCGCGGGCACTTCGCAAGGCACAAACTAATCTGAACGCTACTGCTTACCTTCTGTAACAGTCTTGGGAGTGCAGGAATGAGGACCTCCGATAGTCTAGTACGATCCTCCACAAGAGTGCGACTTTCTTTCGTAGAAGGAGCTCCTCGTTTCACGATGGATCTACCAACAGGTAGATCACCCGTGGCAGCCTGACGTACAGAACACACCAATACTTCAATCAGCTGCGATTCACTTGATTCCACTAAAAAAATCAGAGAAGGATAACGAAGCTTGTAGCGATACAAATAGATTTTAGAGGGGATAATGCCGGATTTTAATCAACAAACAATTCCCTATAGATCGGTAAGACTAACATTAGGTCGCATTCATATCTTGCGACCGTGAAGAAATGCAGAAATGAAGAAATACGGATTCTGCGTAAATGCCGAATCTGCAGAAATGACGAAATCATTAGATACGTACCGATTTTCCGCAATTCCGTCATTTCTGCATTTCTACAGATTCCGCATTTCTTAAAAGAGATATGTATTTAACGCTTTTCGTCATTTCTG